CATGAATAAAGGACGGTGTTCTCCCTTTCAGTAGTGGTAGGGTGCCATGGCCAGGTTGTTGTGAAAAGCCCAAAGTGCATTTGGATGAAAAAGAAACATCTCAGGGCTGCGAAGTAGAAAAAGAAAAAAAAATTTTTTTTTTTGGAGGTTTTGGTTTTTAGAGAGAGGAAGAAATGAGACAAGGGAAAAAATACAAAGCAGCTGCAAATTAGGAGAGAAGATGCTCTTTTATGAATTAGATGCAAGCAAGCAAGCAAGAAAAATGACTTGAACATGTAGAGCTCAGAGATATATATACTAGAGCCATGCGCATTGGGGAGATATCAGAAAGGGATAAGGAGGCATAGCCAGTCCTAGGTCTTGATTCCCTTTCAAGGGCAGAGTGGGTCAGAAGGAGTTCAGATTCTATGGGGAAGATGGTATTTTCCTGCTCGAAGACTCTATAAGCAGGGATACCTAGATTGCTCCCTGGACCAGATGAGGAGCACAGTCCTGTTTAAGCAGAGCGTCTAGGACAAAAGGGACTGTGAGAAGGGAGGCATCGTTATCTGCTGATAGAGAACAGAGCTGAACGTTGCTGAGCTGGACTGAAAATGCCAGGGTAATGCAGCTAAGTGTGAGACACAGCATCAGCCTGAACTAGGGCTGGGGACAGAGAGGGACCTGTACAGCCAGAAAAACATACCTCTGACTCCCCGGGTAACATGGATCAAAGATAACTTTATAAAAATAAAGTGAGAGATAGTATAGGTGTTTCCTGAAGGATTGTGATTGCAGGGTTATAGAATCATAGAATAGTTTGGGTTGGAAGGGACCTCTAAAGGTCATCTAGTCCAACCCCCAGCCATGGGCAGGGACATCTTCGACTAGATCAGGTTGCTCAGAGCCCCGTCCAACCTGACCTGGAATGTTTCCAGGGATGGGGCCCTGCTCTGAGAATTTGTCCTGGATGAGAGGGTTTCTCACTCCTTCATGGAAGGGCTGGGTGCTGGCAGTTTACTCCAGATGTGGTTGAGACTGTGTTTGAACTCTGGTAAGTTACAAATTGCTTTGCAACAGACTTTCAGACAGACCCCGGAGGCAAACAGATGGAAGTTTTGGGGAGCTCAGAAGCTGATGGTTAGAAGTTACTCTGAAGTTGCAACCCAGCTAGAAAGCAATAACTGGGAGAGGAGCATTTGTGCTAAAAAGGAGCACTGATGAGAATAGAGCAACATCACCAGGTGAAAGCAGGGTCAGGGCCTGGCATCCAGATGATTGCATGAAGGCTAGCAGACAATCTGAGTGATGTGACAGTCCTTCCCTGGGAGCAGTGAAAGGCGGCAGGGCTTTGCAAGTAGCTTCGAAGCAGTCTGGATATTGCTGAATTTGAGAAGGGGTAAGAGGGATACTCATCAGCAGGTGCAATTTGACCTGGCCCTGTGCATGAGGGGAGGCAGAGATTGAGAAGAGAGAGGGGGAAGGAAGCCTCAGCTACTACCTTGTCTTGGATGATGGTACAAATGGGTGTGTCCTCAATGTGTAGCCATGAACTACAGTGCGTAAATGCAAATGCAGAGGCCAAAGGACTCTAGAGGAGCTGGCGGGCAGTTTCTGGCACTAGTTTATGTATCCTTCATCTAATCTGAAAGAGGCAAGTTTAACCCTCAGAAGTGCTACAGTGCCTTTCTGCTTCCTGCCTGGTAAGGGAAAGAACAGGCAATGAAATTCTGTGGGAGGAACAGATTCAGTCCCAGCTTTTGCTGTTGTCGTGATGCAGTCTGAACCAGGGCAGAGAAGCCTTGGCTGTGAAACTCTGTTATTGTAGAGTTCAGGAAAACCAAAAAAGTGAAGTACGTACTATATAAAGCTGAGGATCCTATGCAGGATGAGTCTGAGAGAGGGTTTCAGAGCAAGGGACAGTTTATAAAACACCTGCTGGTAGGGCTGTCTTGTGGTTAAACTAACGGTAATAGTCATAGAGGAGATGGCTTCAGCCCTGCTTTGTAGTTCTTCTGTGCGCCTGACACGGCTGCAGAGAGAGACACCCTCCCCTTTCCCCCCGGGGCAGGCTCCTGCAGTGGAAAAGGAAATGGGGGCAGCCAGGCAGTGTTGAGAACGTGCTCTCCAACATCTTGTGGGGCACAGACACCCATGTGTGTGCTGTCAAAAGCTAACATCGGAAATAAAGCTAGCTGGAATAGTTTTCCTGTCCTGCGTTCTTTTTTTTTTTCTTTTTTTTTTTGGTAGAAGTGCAATTTAAAAAAAAAAAAATTCATAGAAACTGTTATTTTTCTGTAATGACAGTCTAATTAAAAGACTTCCTTATAAATTCAGTTGACACTTTATTCTCCCTTGAGACCTTTATGCCACACAGAAGAAGCAAGACAACAGTTTGGAGCATCCTGATAGCTCCCAGGATCTACTAATAGTGGTATTGAATGTCTGGTATCCCTCAGCTCTGTGTGTACCTACTTTTTTTTAAATTTTTTTAGAATCATAGAATAATTTAGGTTGGAAGGGCCCACTGGAGATTCTTTAGTTCAAACCACTGCTCAAAGCAGGTCTAATTGGATCAGGGTGCTCAGGGATTTGCCCAGTCTATAAACACCTATAGCATGCTAGAAATAATTTATAGCCATCTCTCATCTATAACAGGCTGCAAATAAGGTCGGAAAAGACTCTTCCAGCCATTCTCTTCTGTAACAGATTGTAGTAGCTGCAGTTCTAGGGTTAGGCTTGGGGTTTTGTGGCTCAATTAACTGAGTTGTGTGCCAGAGCTGTAAGTTAGGGTGTTCGTTACTATAAACAATGAGCTGCATAGTGATTTGTAAAAAAAGAAAAAAAAAAAATCTTTGCTACATGCCAATTTATTGAAGCTAAAACTTTTTGTATACTGCCTCCTTTTTCTTTTTTTCTTTTTAATGTTTCAAAATGTGTCATTCTAACTTTGGTTAGTGAAGCATTCTGATGTTTCAGTTCAAAATTAATTTGTTTTAACAGCTGAGGAGTTTTTTGGGGACAAAACCAAAGCAGAAGAAAAAGAACAGCCATTTGGTTTTTAATTTTCAATGGACGAACTGTTTAGTTGTTCAGGACAGGAAAATATCCTGAAATATAGAAAGTGTTCTCAAGGATGAAAAAATTTCTCCACAGCTGCATAATGGGGAGATATCTTCAAAGTGTGGGGCCATGTGTCTCATAAGACTGGTAATATGGTGGCTTATTATGGATTCTGTCAACGCTTCAGAGACGCTTGGGAATGTGTGTGGACGCTACGTGCACTGGTGCTTGCTCTTGCTTATGGTTGGATATAGGAAGTGGTGGCAAATGGGCATGCTTTCAGGGCTGCACAGTCTTATTTAAATAACACTGATCAAAGGCTTTTTGCTTTCCATCTGCTTTGTGTATTTGCAATTTTGTCTCTTGATACCTAATTTTATGTGGGGGGTTTTGTTTGTTTTTGGTGTTTTTCTTCGTAGCCTCAACTAGTGGTCCAAGAAGGAGTGTCTCAGGAAGGAAATCCTCAGGGAAGCAGTGACTTGAATTTGAACTCAGCGCCAGCCGCACAAGGTTTGAAATTAGATAATCATAATTACACAAGACAAAACTGTGCAGCCATGCTCCTGGCAAACCATGCATCTACCCCCAAAGCTCTAGCACTAGCTGTAATCATTCTGGTAAATCCTACAGAGGAGAATTTGGAAGCCTTCCAGGCACGTTACAACAGGAGGGGTAGCACATTCCTTCCATCTAATTCAGTTGTGACTACTTCAGCAGAAGTGGAGGCAGAAAAGAGGGATGGGAAGAGAATCTGTATCTTTGCCTTTCCAAGAGGTCATGTATCTGAGGTTCTGGTCACTGTTATAGGTATGGCTCAGTGAAATTGTCTGGCTGTGTTATGTAGAAAATGAAAACAGTCTATCATTTTTTTTAAGTAAGACAAGACATTCATGAGTAGAAGATCCCTTGACATTTGGGACATCCTAGTATTCTGGATTAACTCCAGCATGCCTCCATGATAGTCTTGCTCTCTCCTTCCTGGCTTGTACTCTAAGACAGTGCTCTCTCCGTTAGTGGCTGGCACACTAGCAGAGATGCTAGTGCATCAGCAGCACAGAGAATGACGGCACTGGCAAGCTTCTGCTGCAAAGTTATCTAAGCTTTTCTGAGGTGAGATGCCAGATAACCGTTAGCACTGTCATAGGAACTTACAGATGCGCCACCCAGAGCCCCAGCCTCACTACAACCCTGGGAAAGTGCAAATCCAAGTCCAGCCTATACCATTCAGGGCCGTTTCTGAGGTAGATGCCAGGAAAACTTGCATGCAGCCGAGTCCTACCTTCAGTGAGCATCGTAGGAAGTTATTCATTAAATATTTTCTCTTAAGTGGGAGGGGGAAGGGGCCAGCAACCCAGGAGAGGCAGATGTTGCCTTGTTTTGCCATGTGGTCAGCACAGCTGCTCCCTCATCCCACTGCCGTTAGCGCTGCTGAGCGTGGCGTGCGAAGCAAGCTAACTGACACTGGGCAGCCAAACCCAACCTCAGGTTCTTAGAAAGTCCCTGGAAATGCCACATGATAAAACGCCAGAGTAGTTAACCTCAGTTGCTTGATTCAGTTTCCTCTCGGGCTCCTGCTCCCATATCACTTCCTGCCACCGAGTTGTGTGATGACATCAGCAGAGCCGCAGGCTCACGGATGATGAGCTCACCTCCGGCCCAGTCGCTGCCTTTTTGTAGTACTCTTCAGCATCACCCAAAACCACAGCCGATGTGGGTACTTTCTTCTTCCTTTCAGTTTGAGTGGGACCGAGGGCAGTGACATGAGGAATATATTTCCCTCCTGTCGCAATGAGGCAGAACCAGATGTGACAGGATAAGCAGATGCTGCGGTCAGTGGGAGACAGCAGTGCAGCACACGATACTGCAGCGCAAACCGCTCTGTGTCTGCACACTTAGCACCGGGGATGGAGAGGGGAGTTTTACTGTTGGGGAAGGTGTGCGCTTCTGTAAGAAAAAAAAAAAAACAGCCAGTTGAAAATCAGTGGGGATACGCATGTACAGTATGAAACCTGGCAATCCTCTGGAAAATTTCATAACAGTTGTTTGCTCAGGAGCTTGAGATGGAGTGGTAATCCTGTCTTAAACTTCTGACTAAGAAGGGAAAGAGGAGACTTACTATTCTGATTTACTAGAAACTATAGATCCTGTGGCTTGTTTGCAAGCGAGATGCAACTGTAGCAGCTTTCAGACGGGTAGTTTCTGGATGAACCCATTCTATGGGTCTGGGTTTAACTTAGATATTATATGCCTGCAAGCTTTTGTGCTACTCGTGCAGGAGGCTACTGCTCTGAGATTTGTTAGCAGGAGTCTGCAATCACATAGTAATCTTCTGCTATAGGCACAGCCAGAGATTTTGGTCATTGTGGGGTTCGTTGGTTTGCTTTTTCCTTTCAGGTGAGGATTTTTGAGCTGCTGTGCTAGAGGGAGGGCATGGGAGGATACATGTGCTTGCTCATCCTGCAGGTTGTACGCTGTACAGCTCTGAGTGGGAAAGCGATCTGCCGTGGGCTTCATGCCTGCAACATTAAGGAAGAATTGCTGAAATAAACAATGACAGAATCCCTGCTTTTCAGTCAGTCTGTCATGGGGAGAATCAAGAAATAGGAAGAGCCAAACTAGAAATATGCAAGACTTGCAAGCCTGCCATGTTGCAGAGAGCTGCTTTAAAGCTAGCTGATGTTTTTCCATGGCCTTTGTAGCTGGGGATCCAGCTGGTTTCCCCAAGGCACTGGTTATGGGTGACTTTAGGTTATCCAGGAGCAGGCAGAGGTTTGTTAATGGTTCAGGCTTTATTGTGTTGCTACCTGCAGATGCTGCCAATCACAACTCAATTGTTAAAGATTTCTGTTTGTCTGGGCCAAGAAGCATTTGTCTTCTCTTCCATAAGTACCACTACCGAATGATTGATGAAGCTGATTTCAAAGCCTCCTAAGCCACAAAAAGCAGCCTTGGCTTGTTTCAATAACCTTACTTGGCTAATGGAGCATAGATGCGAGAGGGAAAGAGTTTGCTTTATGGCAAAATTTCCAAGACCCACTCCAAAGCCAGAAGCAGCCTTGGGATCTTGCTCCTTTTTGTCTGTCTTTCCTTCCCTGTGTTCTTCTCAGTACATTGAGAGATGGAGCAGCTGCAAACTCCTCTGTCTCGCTTTGTTCCCTCTGCTGCCCCAATGGTCACCTCAGCTTTCCTGAAACCAAGGGGTTAGCCACAGATCAGAGCAAGCCTGTGCAGCCAGAAACATTCCCCACTCTGAGACAATTTTCAGACCTTCTCTGCATCTACTTTCCTGATGCTTATGACATTGGGCAAGGCACTTCTGGTACTTTGTGTCTCACGAGGATCCAGGGTGGCAGTTGGAAATACATACAACTGCTCACAGCAGAGGTTGATCATGTGTGTTTGCATAGCAGAAGCCAGAAAATGTCACACAGACTGTAACTTCTGGGCTCTCAATAGCCTCATGCTGAGGCCTGCTGCCAGGGAAGCCATTTGCGTCAGGCTTTAGCCTGGAGCTGGTACAAGAGCAATGGGAATGTTGTTGTGAAGACCTTTGGTTGTTTGGGAATGGATCCTTGCCACCTTTTAACCTTGCACTGACTCTGTAATGGGGCATTTGGGCAGCTAGGCTCCTGGACCCAAGAGCTCTAACCCTCTCTCTCCCATGATCTTTCCCTTTAGGCATCACTGGAAAAGATGGTTCCAGGCCCAGCAAAACTGGTCTTAGATCTCTGAGTAACATCCCTGCCACAGCTCAGTAGTATGCCACCTGTTCATGTCTTGCTGAAGCCAGAGAACTGGAAAGCAAACAGGATTTTTAATGTCGTATTTCAAATTCTTCCTCTGTGATAATTTTCGCTAAGCTTTCTCTCCTGTTGTCTGCTGGCTTATCCCAAACATCCAGACAGGGACTTAGGAGAAGAAATGGCAAATGCCTTGTCAGGGAGATGCCTTTCACAGTTTGTAGTATATCTTTTGTGAGGATATTAATCTTTCTTAAAAATACTTGGATAACATGGTGCCTTGCCCTGCCATGGACAGCAATAGTTAACAGAAAGATAGTGTTGACTCAGTAATGCAGATACAGTAAAGGAAACCTATTTACACAGCTAATTGCTGAACTTATATATCGTACCACCTCTGGTAGATTAATGGAACAGTCCCAAAAGTTAAGTTTTGCTCAGTTGCCCCTAAGGATTACATCTGAAAGACAGTCTTCAAGTCCGTCCTTTACTATATCAGAAAGAAAAACCTTCATGGCATTTCCAGCTTACCTAATGCTGTTGCTCCAGTGGTCATAACTTGGATGCTTTAGAGAAAAGTTCGCACCCTGATGTCTTGGGGATTGATTCTGAAATTTTTATCCTAGCATTATCAGCTCAAGGCCATCTCCTGTAACTAGCTGTTGGCCTGGTGGCACTCCCCCTGAATTTGATAGCAACTCTGAGTGCACAATGTTTACGAGCTCAGTCACAGCCACTGGACTTCATCACTTCAAAGGAGTGTCTGTGAAGAACCAGTTACACAAAGGTTGCTTCCTTGCAGAGCCTCAGGATTCAATTTAAATGAGTTGTATCTTCAGTCTATAATGTGTGTATGTGGGGTCCTCTAGTGTTGCAGCTGTGCAAATAAAAGCTTGCTGATACAGTTAGTTTTGGGAGACAGCAGTAGCCAGCTGGTCTGAGATTGTTGCTGGCTGCTCTCAGTCTCACATTGTATGCAGATTTGTGCTTTCGGTGTCAGAGTTGATCTTGCTAAATTCTGAGGAATTGAGGGTATTTCCAACATCCAGTTGCAAACAGTGAAATCCCATTGGTACTTTCCATCTCGTGGATGCTCTGCCTGCCTATTAAAGGGACAAAGTGGGTATTTCAATTATCTTTGACAAGATGTAAAATTGGCTAGCTTTACAGTGTTAAATATTTAAACAGAACATAATTGGCTTTAAATTTGTGGCAGTGCATAGCAGAAACCCATGAAATGGCAGTATATATTGAGCTCATTTATTATCCTTTCATCAGAGGTCTGTTCCCTTAGCAGGTATTTATTTAACACAAGAAAATGTATGCAGAATTAAGAGGAAGGGGTGATTGGAGAGAGATAATAGGAAAAAAAAGTTTTTTTCTTTCTAGGTCACTTTGTCCAGTCCGCCCAGTTTAGTAGTGATCAGAGTCCTGATCCTGTTAATTCTGTTTCATAGTGATCAGTCCCGATCCTATTAATTCTGTGTGTTGTCTGGTTTGCCCTAACAGTAGTTTCTTGTGTATGGAGTTTGGTGGCCTCAGCAGAAAACTGCATCACAGATAACCTTTGCGCCTCCTCTACCACATAGCAGAGAAATCAAGGATTAAATGGATTAGATCACAGGGACTGACCTAAATCTTATGCTGTAGGATGAGGCGTGCTGCCAGGTATGGGAAGAGTTTGACCCCCTTCTCCTGCTATGTGGATAAATCCAGGTGGAATATCATGCACGCAAATCTGTAAGTGTTGATGGTTACACGAGAAGATCCAACTGGTATTCTTCTGAATTCAGGTTAGGGAGCTGCTCTTCTTCAGTGGACACACAAGTTCAGTTGCAGTTCATGTCTGCATTCAAAGGCCACTCCAGTGGCAGACCAAGATATTTTACCAACTTCTTTACCTGATTTTCAGGTAAATTGGCAGGTTTAGTACTCTGCTTGCAAGGCTGTACTGCCTATTGAATTAACCCCTATTACCTGGGAGTAATAGCTGTTACAATGTGAGACTGGAACTTCAGCTTCTCCTAAATGGATTATGGACTGCATCTGTAAGAGACTCGAGCTTTTCTTATGACACCAGTCAGACCATTCTCAGCTGGTGGCATGGAGTAGGGATGGAAACTGCCTCAGCTAGATAGTAAATCCATTTGCTTTTAGGTCAGCAGTATTCCTCTGGGACATGACATGCATACCAAAGTACTTCTCTTTCTTAAAAAAAAAAAAATCTAGTCTTCGCTACCTCTCAATACTCTATTGGGAAGCTGCAGTAGAAAATATATCTCCATAAAAACGTAAGTGCTCGAGGAAAACAAGCAGAATTCCACGCTATTAGGAGCTACTCTGTGTGTAGTTGAAATCCCAATCCATAGCTTCAGCTTCCATGTTTATGCAGAGACTTGGAATGACAGTCAATGCCTATTAAAGGTGAGCAGAATTCCAGCCATCTTCAGAGAGCTAGGATCTCACGCTGGATTACTTGGATTTTCTGTTTTGAAATGATAAATACTTTTTATTTCCCATATAGTTAGTTACCTCTTCTGTGTAGCCAAATCCTACCTCTAAGCAAATGCATTTCAAGTGTTTTTAAGCTGACAGTTTTGGTCTGACTGAGTCAAAATAGGAGGTCATTACAGTCGGATCAAACCATGGGAGATGAAGGAGGTTTGTCATCTAGCAAAGTTTGGAAGATTCTCATAAATGGTTTTTGTGAAGGCATAAAGAGTGTTGGCAACTTGCAAATTAGCCTTGGAGTTTGTTTTTAATAAAGGTATAAAACGTAGCACCTCAGGCTTCTGCTTTGCCTCCTCCATGTGCAACAACCTCAGCACACATGCATTATCAGCAGACAAGGTGAGTTTTTCTTTATCTGAATTGGAGTTTTGGGGATTATAAAACAAGATTTGGTCATTCAGGAGCACCCACAGATCTATGTGAAAACAAGGAATAATGAGCATGAGGAATCACACATGGAGGAAAACAGACAGGCCCTTAAACCCAAATGTTGGTACCCAATTCCATCCTCTTATATATCTTATAGTACCTCAGGACTGGCTTGATTGGAACACAAGCCAATTCTACTTCATGTGTACATCCAGAAGTCTCCACGGCTGAGTCTGTTATGCCCCACATTGTTCTGTGTGCCATACAACTATTTAGCTTTTCATACAATTAATTCTGTTCCTGTGTATAGCCTCCTCAGTTAATCTGACAGCTTTCCTAACTAGTCCCAAGTTTTGGGTCTCTGGGCCAGAAGATGAAGTAGAAAGCAAACCTGAAATACACCAACATCACCACTGCTGCCCACAATGTTCACCCCAGTGTGGGCAGGCTAGCATGGACAGAGCTGCAGGTGAGCTGATGAACCCCTAGTTTGTCCAGGAATTCAGCTGGTTAAAGGATAATATGGAAAAACAGACGAGTTGGAATTTGTCTCCTGCCTTCCCAACTTTTCCACCAAGCACCAAGCCTTCGCGAAGAGGTCTGAGTTTCCATACTGTGGAGCACTAAACCTTGACCCCCGCAGAGCTTGTCCTTCCACGTTTTTCACACTTACTTCCGTCTTTGAAAGAGTAGGGGAATTCACTGCATACAAATTACCAACAGGTACTGAGGATACACTCCAGCAGTTTTCTGTGGAAAATGCAAATGATAGGAGGGGGAAAGACAATCACACTAGATTTCATGTAAATAGTTTAATTATATTTCAATGCTTAAAACACAGAAACACTTGAATTAAATTACATCATAATGCTTCTGCTAAATTGTACATATACTTCCAAGAACTGTGAGAGGAGGCGCTATTGAACTAAAAGAATACTCCAGTAGAAGCCCAGCAAATACCCATAATATTCTTTTAGTCTTATTGTCTGTACTTCTTTAATCTAAGGGCAGTCATCACAGGACAAAGCCTACCATTACAGGAAGAATGGTTAGAGAATTCCTCTGTAGGTGTGTTTGTTATACAAGATACATCTCAGCATTAACGTTTAACAAGGTGCATGTTTTTGCACCTGAGCTGGCAGATGCACTGCTTGGCAGCTGCTTGTGCAGCACATGGAGTTGGGTAAAGAGCACAAAGTAGGCTGTTGGTTTGAGGAAACAGCTCAGCTTACACTTGCCTTTCCTCGAGTTTAAAACAACAAATGAAGTTCCAATCCTAAGAGTTCTAGGGGAAACGTTGCGATTTAGGACAGCCATGCACCCCTGCTGCCGCTTGCATCCCTGTCCTGCTGCAGAGCCTGGGAGCGTGACAGGCAGCGACGTGCCAGCTGCTGAAGGGAGTAATCTGCTGTCTCTGTGGCTGGCTGCCCTCAGTGAGCACTTGGAGGAGATGGTAAGTGTGCATGTGTGTGTGGGGGTGATGTATTTGCTTCTCAGCTGGTCACGTAGGCATTACCTCTGGGAAGACCCACAGATAGCATCCAAATTCTAAGGACCTAAGCCAGATTACATTGAGTATTTGTACCCACGCACCTTCCTTCCAACAGTATCTCTGGAGTGCAAACACCAGCAGCAACCAGCAGCCTGGGAGTGCCTCTTGCCAGATCTCCTGGGTATGGAGGATGGGCTGTTTTCCACAGGTGATGGCACTCCTAGCCCTAATACACTCCCAGAACTCCGAGGTTTTAAAAAGAAAGAGGGATACTGAAAAATTAAAGCAACTTAGCCCTGCAAAACTGCCATGGGGGAAGCTGCGTCAGTGAAGGAGGGAGGACTGGTAAGGAACTGTGCACTGCAGGGGTCAGTGGCACATGCCCAGGAAAGAGTCTGCATTTAATGAATATGGAAAGAAAAAATCACAGTGGGGAAGAAAAAAGAAAAAGATCTGGGAGAACAAAAACTAACTGGCAGGTCCAAACTTGCAACAAAGCACATGATACCTGAATTGCCACTCAGTGAAACATCTCCTTGCATAAAGCCTACCTTTAGATCTGCATTCAAATTTTGGCTTGCCCTGATTCCCTTTTGACTGGTGCTGTGGATGGAATATCATCTGACTGACAAATGCATGTACTGCAAAAAAATCAGGAGGTGATCAGTGCGTGGCTGGGCACTGATGCTTGCATGCAGGCTCTGCTGCTGGTCCCTGGCTGCTGTGCTGGCCTGCAGCACTCAGGGCTGGTGGCCACCAAAAGGCTCTGCAGCGGACAGCCCCCATGCCGCACTGCAGCATGCCAAGGTGGCCAGAGATCCCTTCACACTCTCTCCCTCCCGCAGCTCTGAATGACACATAGGCAGAGGGTTACACGCTTCAGGGTTACAGGGAAACTCCTGGCTTACCTGTCTAGTCCCACGTTCTGCATTAGCAGGTAACATGAGCAGAGGCTAACGCAAAGCTCCGTGTTTCCTTCAGTAGGAAAAAGAGAAGACTCTGACTGCAGGTCTGGGCAGGTAAGGAAGTACGAACCAGCTGTTCAGTCACCTCTGGGGGCAGACATGGGGCTGTTGTAATGTTGAGCCAATACATGTTTTTCCTTATTTAAAAGAAAATATTTCAAGGCTTAATCTTTTTTCTGGATAATGCTCTGCACTGTAGAAACTTCCCTGAGCCAAAGCAGGAGGGGGGATACATGGTATCGGAACCCCAGTTCTACTTGACTCCTCTCTGTGGCCCAAGCACCATTATTCCTAGCTCAGTGGCAGGGAGTCACATAGCCAGACACTGACACCCCCTGCCTCTAGCTGTGTGAATTCCCCTCTGTCTATATGGCAGCCCTAATTTGGGATATTCAGCCACTTCCTCAGTTAAGATGTAATCAGCCAAATGTTCACCATTTCGCTTTTTAAAGCTAGTGAATTCCCCATGCTTCAACATCACCCCGGGTGCACGTTTATCAGCAGCCCACATGCCACAGGGGGGATAAGCCCATGGTGTGTGTTTTCCCTGGTGTGCCCCAGATTACCACTCAGCTAGGGGGGTCATCTCTCCTTGCTTTAAAGGGGCTTTGCCACCAGTCACCCCTCCAGGATCTGCCAAAGCCACGGTCACTGTACAGAGAGGTTCATTCATTGCTTTCTTTGGGATCTGGTGGCACAAAGCCAATGGGGAAGCTCTCTGAAACACGCACCTCTCCTCCTTCCCTGACCCAGAGAGTGGGCACATGTGCTCTGACAAGTTAGTCTACAACAAAGCAGGCACTGTTCCTAAGCACGCAGCTTGGTAGACGGTATCAGTCAACAGCAGCCCAGAATCTGGAGCTCAGGACCTTTTAGTGGTAACAGACGCACCAAAAAATCACCACTGCCATCACAAAGGGTTTGCTTCCCAAAGTGACAACAGTTCCCAGTGCTTGTGCCCATTTGTAACACAAACCAAGGGGGCGACCAGCTGGGCCCAGTGGATCAGCCATGCTTGCGGGAAGTCACTGGTTTGTTGGCTTCATCCTCCCCAGTCTCAGCACGATCCCAGAGCAGGGGCAGGTATTGTTCATGCATTGATGGCATTGGCAACGTCTGTGAACACAAGACGGCTGGGTCTCTGGAGGGCTCCTTGACTTGTCAGCAGAATCTGCATTGAAGCAGTGAAAGATGAGACCCAGCAAGTCTGTCTTTGCTCAGGTGCATGTGCTTGGGCACAGACTGCACAGTATTGTAACTAGATTCCGCCCCTTACTAAAGGGAGGCTGGCTGACTAACATGGCATTAACAAGGCTGTGACAGAAAAATAGAACAGGCCAGAGAGCAAGTCAGCACATCCATGCCAGTTTAAAATCCCCACATCATTGGACTACTGGGTCTCACTATTTATATATACAAGGCAGCATGAAAAGACTTGAAACACCAAGAAGGCCTGGAAACATGCCATAGACTGAACTTTGCCTGTTGTTTTACACTCTCCCTCTCTTATGTTAAGCCTTTAAACTTGCGTAGTTTCCAAGGAGAGGTATCTGTGCATTAGCAAGCTCTGGAGGGATCTGAGGTATCCTGCTGGCCAGTCCCTATATAGGAAGGATCTGCAGTAAAAGTGCTAAGTTTAACTCTTGGCCTTGTCATTTCCCCCCCTTTACTACCTGAAGGGAAGTCCTCTATGTGCACTAAGAGAGGGATTTGATGTTTTCCCAGTATGCGCTACTCAGAGGACAAGATCCTTTGCTTTTATATAACAGTATTTCTTGCTTTCCCAAACCAGTGTATGGAATATGTTGACTATCTTTCATATTCCAACACACACATCTCCTTTGTGCTCTTTAGCAGGTTGGGAAGCATGTCTCAAAGTAATTTATAAGTACAGTTGTATTTATTATCTCCTCTTTCCCTTTCTGCCCACACCAAGCTTGCTACAGGTTATCTGAAGATGTAAAGTGTGTGGAAACTGAGAATTGTTTGGGAGAACTCCTGCTCCTGGAACTGGAAAAGCAATGGAAGACACAGGCAACACAGAGCAGCTGGAGAGGAATTCAGGAAAGGAGAGATGTCTATTCTATGGGGAGGCTGCATCGCTGGCTAAGAGACGTACCTGTTCCAACCATCCCTGCCGGCTGTGTCTTTCAGAAAGGCTTTTTGTATGGTGGCGGTGACAAAGGAAACAAAACACTGTGAAGCTGGCTGCAAATGATGGTGAGAAGTCCTTCTTCCCTATTTCTCCTACCTCTTGGTACACTGGGGAAGGAGATAGCCTCTTGTCAAAGGCCTATCTAGACCATTAACCAAAAACAACTGGCCAAGCTATCAAGCTCTTTCCTAACTCACAAATGTAGTAAGTCAGTGGTCTCTGAGGACCTTATCATTTCTCAGCATGCTGCATGCCTTTGAACACTCAGAAGTGGTCAAAGCAAAGCCGCCTTCTTTTTCTCTCCCCAAATTCAAATAGTGAACTCTCCTCCCTTTTCTCTTTCTGAGCCGTGCCTGCTCTGTGCCCAGCAAGGGTGGCCTGGAGGTGCTGACAAGACCAGATGTGCCATGCCACAACAATGTGCAGGCTTTCTGCCTGCATTCTTCAGGGCTTGCAGCACAGTTAACTGTTACGATTACAGGCAAGGCCCTCAGCAAGGCCTTGTTCCACACTTGCATCCTTAGGCAAAGCAGGGATACCTTAAAACTGGGTGGAAATTATTTGTTTTTCAGGGCCAAGGCAAAGGATCCTCAGTGCTTTGTGGGCATTGAAGCCCCGTCTCCCAGAAAATGGCATTCATCCTACTGCTCCCTTGTGGTGCCCTGGGTGGTAAACTGTAGTAAACTCACCCTTAATTACTGAAGTTGCCATTTTCTCTCTCCTAGTTGAGTAGAGCCAGCACTTTGCCTCCCCCGGCTCTTCATCCTAGTTGCCTGACTCTTCAGTCCATCCTAAGCTCTCCCAAATGCTCATGCCCCCTATCTCCAGGGCTGGCAGAGATGGGGGAAGCCCTCCTGAGGTCTTACATGGTTTCCTTACCCTACAACCCTACAAAAACTCTTTCATCCTGTAAGAAAAGCAGTGCAGGTACCAGTGGCTGTAGTAACAGACTCGCTGGCCCCTGCTGCCTACCTTGCTCTGTGATGCCTGGGAAGATGCTGCATCTCGCCCATGTTCCAGCAGCTCCTGCTCCAGTTCATCCTGTTCCTCGGTGGGATCAAAGTTGTACATGGGCATGAGCTGGTGCCGTAGCTTCTCCAACCTGCCCATGGGAGGGAAGGGAAAGGGTTGGTTGGGAAGGACAGATGCTCAGGCTGCCTTCCCCACCCCACTGCTGAGGCTTTCTGCAGGCTGTTTCTCCTGCTGCACAGGGATTCTGCTCTTGTTGCTCTTGCTGGATAAGGGTCATGTCCTGTCCTGCAGGGATGAGGATAAGAACCTACTGCACACAGCTGGCAGGAGTGGAAGATACCCAGAGTGCAGTTACAGGGATTAATTGCCATCACTAATCTATGTTGGCAGGCATTACGCACAGAGGAATCAGACAGGGATTTAAGTTCCTGCAGACTTTAAAAGATCAAGCTCTATGTGGTGCAACAAAAGAGACAGTGGAACATACTGGCTAGGCATTTTGTGACTTCTCCCCCTGTCCCTCTGCCCACAACAGCCAGTCCTGCCATGTCACACTATGTCTGCCAGCAGAAGTCCACTTTTAGCTCCAGTGGCCTAAGAGTAGTACTTTAATTCTGGGGTTGAAGTACATAAAAAATAAATAGAAAATAATAAAAAATAAATAGAAAATAGGAAAGAGATAGGTTCTCATAGGAGGCTGACGCCTGTGGACACACTGTTCCTACTCACATCATTGCTCCAAATGACAGAGCTATGAAGTATTACCCCAAGGGGTCTCCCTAAATACTGGGCAGCTCAGAGATGGAAGATGGATGGGTGGGCATGCTCCTGTGAAAACACTGAGCCCTGCCTTAGTAGCTGAGTTTTGGGGGGTGGGAGAGGGAAACACATAAGCAATATACAAATATCTATTTTGGCAAGTGTTAGGATGACACATTCCCTCCCTGCTTCTATATGGGTTTGCCAATACAACCATTATCTCCAGCAGCGCTATGTTCACACAGGCCAAGCATTAGCTGCTCCTGTGGCAGTAGCCAGATCTGGGCTTCAGGGTCTGGCTTGGAAATTTTACAGTGGGCAGCAGCACTTCTTGAAAGTCTGTGGCCAGGCCAGGCCTGCCACAAGGAGTCAGGCAGGGAGGAGGTACCACATCTAATGGATCTTCACCAGTGTCTCTGCTGTCAGAGATGGAAGAATCAAGACGTGTGTCTCTCTGCATGCTGCTCTCCTCTCTATTTTCAGCCAGGAGCTTAACAAGGAAATTAAGACACTAAGTCTTGGACTAGAAAGCTGCATCTCTGCACTATGCTCCTGCCAGTTGCTGCGACTGCAGCTAAAGAGGCCTTCAGCCTTGCAAGGCCAGTGTCATTGGCCCAGGCTGTTGGAAAACACAGGGATCTGGGAATGGCTGAAATGTGAGATCCACACCTCTCATGACAGAGTTCCCAGCTTCTTTATACACTCATAACCCTTTCCTCTGTTTTAGTGCATCTCATAGATGAAGCATGAAGAGTTTGCAGGATCCCCTAACCTCCCCCTGCTCAACCATGTTTTCCTTTCCAAAGCTGCAGAGGAGTCTTTGAAGCTCTGGTGTTAGAAGGTGGGCCAATACCCAGAGTGCAGTGTCCCTACTCCTGCCTCATTCACACACAGCTGATTCCCCATAGGCTTGTTCTCAGACAGCCATCCCTTACACTCTCCCCATCTCCCTGCCTCCTTCCTAGCTCTCTCTGGATTTTGAAGCACTGAGTTCCCTTCAGCCAACAGTAGACGTTACTTACCTCTTCCTCTTCCTGATATACAGAACCTGAAGGAGAAAGAAAACCATCGTTACCACAGTCCCAGTAGGATAGGGAACAGCTGGGAAGAGAAATTTTGGGCACAGGGCACACAGAAAGGAGGTGTAGCAAGTCTGGTGTCACTGCGTGCCAAAGCAGGGGGAAGGGAGAAGTGACAACCGAAAATGAAATTTCGTATGCGTCAGTGTAAGCTCGGTAGCACATCATGTGTGACACTAAGTGCTCGAGTGGCCTGTTATTAGGTGTGTTAGTAGTAGTAAGAGTATTAGGTGTATTATTATTAGGTGTAGCTCAGCACATTTCTGGTGGCTGCGGGACATATGTTGCAATTTAAGAGTGGATGAAGAACCTTCCCTCTGTGGTTTTCATCTGTAGATTTCCTACAGCGTAAAAGTGCTCTTACCCCCTCCCCAGTATAAAGGGAAGCAGCAAAGAGGGCATGCTCAGTGACTTGCCTCGTGTCAGCCAGTAAGAGTGGCTGCGCTGGGAAGAAAGTGAGGCTTTTGGCCTCCAGAGCCTTGTTCTGAGAACTACGAACGCTGGATGTTGCTCTTGGGAACTTATGACCGTTTCCAGGATAATGTTTCCAGGTTCTCTTAGGGGCTTTTGGAAAAACTCCTCCTTGGGCCTGCAGTGAAATTTTGCAGTAGTCCCTTTCTGTAGGCTCCTCTGATGGTTGTATTAGTGAAGCTCTTCCTCATACGAGGAATGGGAGCTTGCCGCTACCTTCTGTTTTCTGTTGGCAGGTAAACGATCCGGTTATATATCAAAAGAAGAACTGCAGCACTTGCATTGCCTGTGTCAGGCCCAGAACTATAGTTTCTGAAAGCTTCTGCCTACAGCATTAATGGCAAGGTTAGTTACACAGCAAATCCTCAAGGACTTTCCTGATACCCAGCAAGTAGAACCTTGGAAATGCAGTCCAGAATGAGTCTAGCTATAATGGATTCAGGCCACTTTAATTCAAAAAGGTATGTCCATAGGGGAGATTAATGCGGTTTCAACAGTCTGCTTTAAAAGTTAATTTGGATGAACTTTCTTGCAGGGCCCCATGTTGACAAGGTTTAAATCAATGCAGCTGTTCCAGTTAACAAGTCAGAACAGAATCTGCTTTGTGTTCTTTTAACTGAACTTCCTATTGCTATTAAAAATAAATACTGATACTACATATGGCTTCCTCTAGGCCTGCTGAGCATCCCGTTTGGACTAGACCTCAGGGAGACTGCAGAAATATTGGAGCACTGGATAAAGGCTTTAAAAAGAAAGGGATCTCAGGAACTATCAGTTCACAGCAGTTCTGGGTGAGCCTTTAGTAGAACACAAATAAATTATTTAACCCAAATCAGTCTTAGAGCCTCTTTGCCACCCTCCACCCTCAACAGACAGAGAAATATTTAGCAGGGCTCTCTCACCATAGCTACAGCCAACCCAATCACAGTAATGATCCCAAAGGACAGCAGCATTGTGCTCATACTGGGTCCAGTGCTGGCCACATCTGGGATTTTGGTGCTGTTGAAACTGGTAGTCTCAGGGCTTATGGTAGCTGTTTCTGGTACAGTCACATCCAGAGTTGTTCCTGGGTCTGGCTTGGCTGTGGTGGTGGTGCTGTGATACAAGTCATGCACAGAGGGTGAGCTGTAACTCATCCTGCCAGCTCTTGGTAGCTCCTTTTACCAAGCTGTTGTCCTCACCCATCAGCTACAGAAGCGGAGAGCTGCCCTTTGTATCAAGGACCCTCACGTGAGACCTATCCCGTAGCATCATCGCTGATGGGTTTTTCTTCATCAGAACCACACTGGTTTCTGCCTAGAAAAGAATGAGAACAAATGAACAGTGCAGAGCTCTTACAGACAGGCACAACCTTTTCCAAAGCTTCCCAATTCACCAAGTACAATTTTTGAGAGCAGCTCACAGATGCCCACTCAAAATAAGAAACAGATTTTTCAGGTGTACTGAGAGTCAGTACAAAGTCATGCCCGATTCACTTGAAGTCAGTGATACGCCCTCCCCTTGCTGTTTCAGCTCTGCCTCCTTGCAGGCACTCGGCAGATCTATGTGGGGACAACCTCAGAACCCCTGTCTTTCGTCTGCTCCAGGCTGAGCCAGGTGGCCTCTGTCCACCCTGGGAGATACAGCATTTTTCTGCTTCTGTCTCTTGCTTTTAATTTTTGGAAAGTTACATGGATCCCCTTAAGTTTATCAGTGGGAACACATCCAATAAAATGGTACTCAGCTGTGAGGCATCCATATCTCAGGATGCTTTTTACTGAATCCAAAGTAGGACTTCCCTGTTGTGATAGTCACTGGTGACTGGTAAGTCACTGCACTATCTACTGCCCCATGCGCTCTGGAAAGGCAGCTTCCTTAAAGCAGTGAGTTGCACCGGTCCCCCATCTGCTACTAAAGACAGTGAGTATTTCTCAAGTCCCCCATGAAAGCACCCACTCAAGCTTAGTCATGCACTACTAATTATCAATATTAATTTTAAAATTAATCCAATTTTGGAGTTGTGAAATTTGATAGATCTATTCATGCTGAAAACATGAAAGGTTTTAATTGCTTCATGTTTCTATTGTGCAAATGATCAGGAGTTGCAAAACACCATGGCATGATCCTATGGCAAGTATTTGCACAACTTTGTTTATAAACCCACCGTATATAACATTAGTTCAGCAATTGCTTCCGTGAAAATGCAGCTACCTCTGGACCAGAGCAGTGCCAACCCCAAGAACTACTGTAGCAGTCCTCTGATAATTTATCGGCAGTTTAGCAGACATTACATGTCTGGACTGGAATGCAGCTGGGACATAGGGGTTAATGAGCTCTGAGCAGAAAAAGATGTGCCTGCAAAGAGAAATGAGCCATTGTTCTGCTCCACTCTGTTCTATTCTAGGCGAGGTTATTGCGCAGTTCCCATTACTGTGATGCCTTACTGCTGTCCATAACTGCATTAAGCAGTGTAATTAACATCTGTCACCAACAACTGAAACAGAGAAATCACACCAGGCAAACGGCACCAGGCCACCCTGTGGTCAGTCAGCAGCCCGAGCAACCACCTCAACTTGCACAGCACTTGGCCTGCATCTCCCTGAGCAGGTAAATCTCTCACCACACATGCAGGATCTGTCTCACAGCTCCCTGTGAACAACTTTGTGAAGCAGGAGTTGCTGGAGGATTTTGAAGTGCCTGGGAGACTGTGGGAGCTGTCAAACTCCCATGAGTTTCTAGAGAAATGTGAAGATAGCAGTTCTGGTCTGGTCCCACCTAACATTATGCTGAGACACAAGTTCGTTGCAGCTGAAAGGGACCGTGTTCTTCACTGACCACCAAACCATGCACGCCTAGTTTAAACCATGTGGCACCTGGATTTCCCCAGCCATTGCTGACCACAGTGGAGCTCAGGTGTAGTGGACACTCGGACGCAAAGATGGCAAATTTGAAATCTGAGTGCCGCAACAGCAGCAGCAGCTACAGCCCAGCAGGGAAAGGGAAGGAACTGTTGAGCAGGTATTGGGCAGGCTGAGCAGCTGCTCAGAGATAATCATCGATTTGTGCTATTCACGGAAACTCTCCATGACGATAATTCACATTTTAAAAAAAGCCACTACCAAGGAAACAAAAAGTGGAAAAAGAGCCTAAGTGAAAGGAGTGAAGCAGGCCCAAGGGCTTTGCAAAGTGTGGCTCCAGATCTCGAACAGGTCCTGAATTTTGGAAACAAAATGGGTTAGGCCTTCGTCTCAGTGCAGTGTCAGTTTTGGGAAACCACTGGAACTTGGACGTTGAAGCTGATACCAAGCCTTTAGGCAAGACCCCTTTTGTATGGACCACACACTGTGCTGCTGTGCATTGCTCCTCTGAATAAAGTTAGGCTAGGTTAACATTAGCCAGCTGAAAATCTGGTCAAGTGGGAATGGGGGCTCTTGTTCGTGCTCTCAGCGTCCTGCCCATGCTGAAGGATTCCCAAGCCCCGAGACCTAGCTCTAAAAGCGGTCCTGTATGAAAGGTTTCTGACATGGCTTAGACAACCAGTTCTAGGTCCAGATGAGGGTATTTCTGTTCCCAAGCCCCTTCTGGTCCAGGTTGCAGAGGGCCAGACGGGGAGGCTGAGTGCAAGGATGGCCCAGGGCCCACAGCTTACAACAGTAGAGCTGGGGGTGGATGATCTTTCCCACCACCTTCCTTTCCCAGTTGTCACCCTGGTGCTGGAAGTTTGATCTGCAGGCTGGGCACACTCCAAGTCTCCGATGGCTGCTCTAGGGCCAGGGACAGCTGCTACCTATCGCTGGCAGGTTTCAGCATAGTCCGTGCACAAATAGAACAGAACAGAAGAGGAACCAGATCCTCAGCTGCTGCGAGCTGGCATTCTTCCATTGCCTGCACTAACAGAGCTTCTCACACAGCCAGGACCGCTCTGTGCTGGGCTCTGCTGGGTCTGGGAATAAAGAGAACATGTTTGTTTCTCTCCTAAGCCAGCATTTCCAAACTGGTCTCTGCTAGGCGCTGCAGTGGCCAACACCTCTGAGATGCAGAACATTGTGTCAGGCACTAGCTTGAGGCTGCTGGCTTTTCTGAGTCTTGGTTTTAATCTCTCTGTGCTGCAGTTTCCTCTCGGGTACGACAGGAATAGAGGTTTGTGTCACAGGGATGAAGATGGGTCATGGGGTCTCTAGATGAAGGCGGCAAATAATAACTAGTATTTTTTCTGCACTACTTCACCAAGATGAAGTGTCTGTAGTAATTCAGCAATGCAAGCAGCATTGGGTTGCTGTTGGCTACGGGATGTGGCTTCCCAGTGCGTGAACTTGTGGCTTCCTCTCCCCCTGCTACAGGGCTGACCAGGCTCCAGGGCAGCCCCCAGGGTAGGGGGGGAAGCCCCAACCCGTGTGTCCCGGAGCACCTCAGCTTGTCACCCTCCTGCTGTCAGAGAGGTGCCACGGCCCCATCCCACCCTGGCACAGGCGCGGGGATGCTCCCCAGCAATGTCACCGCTCCTCTGACTCCGCACTGATAGAAAACGGACATACAAGCAATCGCCCTGACCCCTAACCCTTTCCGGGCAGTGCCACCCCACAGCTGGCGGGGCACTCCATCCCTGCGGGAAGTCACTCCTTCCCCGTCCCGGGGAGAAGTTTCCAGACGGATAACGGGTTATACGGCCCTTCCCGCTCCGA